TGTGTGTACATGCGTGTGTGGGGGGGGGGTGTACGTGTTTAATACGCTGACGTATTCTATCCACGTAGGTTCGTAACTTATATATGTACCAAGAGTACATAATACCACTAAGATACAATCTCTATTATGTACCCTTGATATTACCTCTACTATATAATACTACTACACAATGACAGTGTTGATGATAGTAATAGTAATAGTAATAGTAATAGTAATAGTAATAGTAATAGTAATAGTAATAGTAGTAGTAATAGTAATAGTAATAGTAATAGTAATAGTAATAGTAATAGTAATAGTAATAGTAATAGTAATAGTAATAGTAATAGTAATAGTAATAGTAATAGTAATGGTAGTAGTAGTATAGCAATAGTCGAAGTGATGTAAGAATAGTCAAAATGTAAAGTATCGCTCAATAACATATATAGCTGTACAGTAAACTTTCGCTGTCCACCGAGAGTTTTGCCACGTACCACCTCCACACCCTGAAGACCTCTTGACACAATTTCGAGCAGAAGTCAGGGGTTGGCCGGTTTAGTGGCGAAACTTTCAAAACAGTTTCAAAGCCCCGCCGCAGGGCACACACGATAAAACGCGCAAAATGATGGCACGCGTGCTTTCACCGTGACTCGGTTACGTAGAGAAATAACCCCAGATGGGCGATCAAGCACGGGCCAGCCGAGCAGACAGCAACCAGGGGCCCGTGTGTCAGAACAAATTAGTTTTAACATTTTCCGAGTCCGAGTCATCGAGGTCCGGTCCACGAGAAAAAGACTAGTGTTAAGACTAATGAGGCTATATATGAGGCTAATTTTCTTTCTGACAACGGTCTAGGAAAAAAGTCAATGTTAAGACTAACGTTATGACTAATTTTGTTTCTGACAACGAGCCCAACGGGTGAATAGATGGATGCGGTCCAGACTAGGAGGCAGAGGCAGTTAGCGGGAGGATGGGAAGCGCAGTGATGGGGGGACAAGCATCTCAACCATGTTTCTAACACGTGTATACGTACGATTTCCTGCCGCAGCCAACACAGTGCCGTACCGATGTCCTCCTCTCTGCTCCTCGCCTCCGCCGCCTTAGTCAGTACCGTCGTCTCCGGCGGCACCTCCGCTATCACCTTCTCTCCCTCATCCTCTTCCTCTGTCTTGCCGTCGTGTTGTGTGGCGGATCGTGGCTCCTCCCCCGGGACGCTGCACTCTGTGATTAAGGGCTTCTTCCTCCTCACTACGTTATTGTTCTCCTCAGCCTCTTCCTCATCTCGGGAGGCATCCTCGTCGGGGATGCTAGCGCGGGAGGAAGACGTTGTTACCTTCCCAGGGGAAGCGGGAGGGGAACCCGCCTTCCGGGATGTGTCGGGAATCGTTTCGCTCCTAGTGGAGGAAGGGGTTGAGACAGAAGAAGCCACCAGGGTGCGCGGCGAACCGCTGGTTGCCATGGATACCGACCTCCTCAGCCTCCTCTCGTATCGCGGCGGTAACTCGACGCGCTCTCCCGCTCCGTCGCCGCCCGCCCCCTGGCGGCGGGTGTTGTAACGTAGCGACGGGAAGTGAGCGAAGACGCGTTCACGTGACTGCGATGCCGTCACCGTCGGCGTCAGCCACAGGTGCAGGTGAGAGCGTGAGTACGGCGGAGTCGTCAGTCCAGACTCGCCAGGGGTCAGCCGCTGCGGGGTCATCGCCGGGTCACTCGTAACCGGAACGGGACCCGGAAGCACTTCCATCTTGTCTCGGCTTGCGATGTTGCTTCGCGACGAGGAGTTTGCGTGTGTGTGTGTGTGTGTGTGTGTGTGTGTGTGTGTGTGTGTGTGTTGTGTGTGTGTGTGTGTGTGTGTGTGTGTGTGTGTGTGTGTGTGTGTGTGTGTGTGTGTGTGTGTG